CGTCAAGCACTCAGGTATCATAATTTTGAGCTAGTTGCGCTTCTAAGTCATTTTGATTTATGTTGCTAAGTTAACTTTCAAAAAATTCTATGGCTGGCAACGGCATTTTTATTTTATAAGTTGTTTATATTATTTCTTTTAGAATTCTTTATTTATAAGCGCAGAGCTATAAGCGATAAGCAGAAAGCTCGCCGCACTTAACTATACTCAATACTCAATTTGTTATTTTTTTAGCGAAATGTTTTTTAACCTAACAGAATTCTTTGCCGACTGTTTTCACTATAAATGAAGAAAATAAAGTAAATATTTAAGTGTTGTGAAAAGAATCTTATTTAGTTGTACAAAGTACTTCAGCCAAAATTTGGGAGCCACGTAAGAGAATTACATATATTAGATCAGAAACACATCATCAAAAGGCAGAATGCTTTGGTGTTTTAAACGTAAACAAAACAAAGCAAACGTTTCCACCGGCGGAAAAGAAATACAGCTAAAATTTGGGAGCCACGTAAGAGAATTGGGTATACTATAGCCTACGTCACAGGTTGTGTTATTCCTACTAAATTTAACCCATGAACGGCATTTTCTGCGAGCCTAACTTCAAGCCACAAATAAACAAACGAAGTGTTTGATCGTTTAAATAGCTGCTCGCCAGATTTTATTGCATTATAAAGAAAAGTAATTGATATTCGATTTTTGATTAATAATTGATTTATGTGGATAGTGGCATTTATGTGGATAGTGGCATAGAATTTAGCATTGCGTCATGGTAAATGTTATTCCTACTAAGTGGAAGTAGTTGTGTTTTTTTATATTATACCCAGTTATATATAATAGATTATCATTGATTTTCATTAAATCGTTTTTTAGGAGCACGTTTTAAAAAAAATTATTATAAATGAAAAAAAGCACGTAGTATCAGACAACTTTAAAAGCAGAGTTATTTAGTGAAGTATACCGCGCGTACTACCACGTAATGTTCTTCACTAAATTTATCTGACTTAGCGAATATAAAATAATTTAATATTTAAATACTTGCCATAAACTATTTTTCAATCAAATAGAGAAATTACCACCAATTTTATCTATGAAATATTCATTACTTCTGCTTAAAAACCGAAAGTAATAATAAGTAAGTTCAGCTCATTGGTTATCTTTACGAAAAATTTTCATTTTAACGAAAAATGATGTTTTTGAAGTTATACTTCTTATGCGACTTCCAACAAGGTTGCGTCAAACGTTTAACGCTACATTTTTATTGGCCGTGAAATCACGTGGTAGGATCCAGTTTTTCCTCATTCATTTCCATATTGTTTTGGTTCTCACTAGCATAAAAATAATAAAAGTATTGTTTTTCTATAAATATTTTCTTAGCTTGTTTTGATACACATATAATTTAATAGGGTATTATTCTTTATTTTCAAATTTAGTGGATAACAATAGTAAAAAATGAGTAAAAACAATCCCACGGACAATGAGACGGATTTAAGCCTATGTCAAGGTACGTCTCTTGTGAATAACAATTGATTGTTAGGTTTTCTCTTCTGAAATTACATCATGAAGCATTCACATACATTATTAATACAAATACATTTTCCAGGGCGAGACGATGAAGCAACCACAAGCACTTCCTCTGGTTCAAGAGGTCCACGAGGGAAAAATGCACAATATTACCGTGATTACAGAGCACGGAAGCGAGCGGAGCAGGAAAAAGAGTCGTTGAATAGAACTAGTGATCCTTCTACGACTGCTGATTCTTCTGCAATTAACGTCGCAGGTTGTGAAGTTTAACTTCTTCCACGCGGAGGGACTCCACGCACTATTTTTTTTTAATATTCTTGTTGGTCTACTTCCTGCATGAAGAGATTTTAATAGATTTTTGTATAATTGCATTAAAAAGTTCTGAAAAGCAATTGTGTTTAAAACTGTTTAGTGAGATAGGAGTTGAAAACTTATATTTCAAACTTGAAATTTAAAAATACCTTGATATAACTAAAAAAGCAAAGAGTACATGATTTTCCATGCTGTAGTTAACTGCTTCATCGACATCGACAAAAATTAATGAAACAATTTTATTTTCCAACCGTCGTTGAACAATCGAAAATATTTTGGGTTTACGTCTAGTAATGTTCAACTCCGTAGCCTTGTAAATTTAAACCAATCCAGAAGACAAGGAAACTCATGAATCAGTACCCCCAGAGCTATGATTTGTTGTGGGAACATTGATGACTTTGTGATTCGACAGATTTAACGTGCGTCAGTCACCATTTACAACATGGAGAGTCTTCGTCAAGCGGGGATCGAACCCACGACCTTTTGAACATGAGCCTAGTGTCCTACCAGCTAGACTATTCTGGCCTCAATGAAACAATTTTATTTTATTTTGCAACCGTCGAAGAACAGCCGACCCAATTTCGGGGCAATGAAACAATTGATGTAAACTTTTATTTGTGCATATTGACGGCATCTTGAGGTGGATCCAAGAATAGTCCACCCCACGGCGATTTTTTTTAAATGTCGCCAAGCATGTTTTGGAAATCTCGCCAAACTAGATTTCCGGACGATATTCCAGGGAGATTATTTCCAACGTACGATCACACCACAAAAATTCTTAAACCAGATTGATTATTTGATATGTATACCTACGCGAAAGTTGGATTTCGTTAGAAAGGAGGCAAAAGGTTTTTTTTCGCAATTTTGATCTCTTGCTGTTAGAATCATCGTAATTTTTTAATTTTTACCATTATTTCATTTATTACCGTTATCATAAAGAACCCACAAAGAGGATACTATAGAAATGTAGGAAATTTTCATTGAGCTATTGAAAAGTAGCTGTTGTCTATATTTTAGAAACTCATTACGGGAAATCATTGCAAATCAATACTGCCAAATGCAGAATGAGAAAAGCAGAGCCGCAATCCCGCGTATGTGCTTTATCATTCCGTTTTTCTCTACCTAACGTTGCTTAAGAACCATTTTGCTGTGGTTTCAAATGAAGTGTGCAATATTGTTTTATTGCTACAACATACATTTGCAGGCTCTATTAAGTTTTATAAACATGTGTCAAGTAGAAGGACAGAGAGCAAACTACAAAAGAGAACAGTACAAATATACATCCAGGGTAGTAGCAGAATTCAAATCAGCTACCTCCGCGCTTTGCACACAGTTTTGTAGGTGACACCACTTGGCCAGAGAGAGCAATATTATTGAATTGTAGTATAACAGAGGATCAAAATTATGATGACCTGTCTCCGGATCATCTTCAGGGATCACCAGATAAGATTCAGATCTTCACCTATAGCCTATAGGGTAGCTCTAGGGTGACGTAAATAAAGCACATAATTACCTAACTTGCTATTGTAGAATAGTACAATGAGATATTTGTGCACTTTAATAGATCTGTATTTCCACTGACGAATCTTATGTTTGAGACTAGGTAAACAGCAGAAGGTTGCAGAGAAAAGTCAGAAGTTGTTCGTAGCTTCAAAGAATTCGTAGTTGGAGATTCGTCTGAGGATTGAGTGAATGCAAAATTATATTTGCGTGACTAAATTGCATGCGATAAGTTGTTTGAGATATAAGATAAATTATATTTATGAGATGAGATACTTTTTATATGAGTTAAATTAATGCTTAGCAGCCGAAAAGTTTATTAACTTAATGGAACACATACAAATGCATGTTTGTGTTCATTTACGAAAGTACGGGTTGCAAGCTTTTGTTAAGTAGAAGAAGATATAGCACAATTCAGAAAAAGTCTGTGTGAAAATACATCTAAGGTTTCGGCAGGATTCGAACCCGCTATCTTAACGTGACCGAGCTTCTGGTGGGCGATAAGGTTCGGGCAGGGTGACCCTCAACCACAAAGTGACCAGTCTATCAGGGAGAGCTAAACACCGGGAGCAATGTTACCGAAAACAACAGGGTCCATAAGGAGCAACACAGCGGTAGGTTCATCAGTCAAACAAAATTGACAGAGGTCAGTGAACTGGTGGGTGACCACTTTGATCAGCTTCCGCAGGGACCGTGGTTGTGTGGTATTGATTTTCATTAAACTGTTCTACCGTAAAGTACTGAACTTCAGACGCAGGCCATCGGTCTACCAAAGAGGGGTAGCCATCACTTCTGCAGAGAATAAAAATTGTGATGGTATGTCATCGGACCATCCTCAGGAAGTTTCCCAAACTATTGACAATAGCCCATTGAGCAGCTCTAGTGTGACTTAAATAAAGTACTACTAGTACAACAACGCATTTGCATTTTTTATACGGAAGAGCGAGTTGTAAGCGAGTTCTTCTCTCCACGCTAAATTCTTCAAAACAAGCTATCTTTATTATTTTCCACTTCATGTCTATAACTATCTCTATACCTGGGGCCTCCCTGGCAAAGCGGTATCGCCGGTCCAAACGCTCTGTTAAGCGTGGAGGTAGCGGGTTCGAATCCCGCCGTAACCCTGGATGTATTCTTTGTGATGTCTTTCTCTGAATTGTTCTATCTGAATTTTCTACTTGACAATGACGTAGAAGCCTATATTGAGCACACAAGTCAGAAAATGTATGTAATTTCAATAAATCAATAAATCAAATCTCTATACCTCAACTCGGTGTAACTGTAAATAATAATCTAAATCAGTTTTAATTTTCTACTGCTCTGAGTTCAGAAGATTTTAAAAAGGAATTCTATTTTATTCAAAGGTTTTAAATGCCATACTTGTTTTTGACAACTTGAATAATTAAGTAATGTTTTAGCTTTTACTTGTTTTCTTACTTAGTTTTTAAATATTTCACAACATGCTTGATATACTTTTCGCAGCTGATTGCGTAACTTATGTTATGGGTTATGAACACGTCGAATGGATGCCTTTACCTATGTATCAAATAAATCATCCAGAGTCACCTTTTGGTTTAATGCAAGAAGTTGTGGAAAGAGTACGACGAATAGTCAGAGTGAACAGCGTTATTGAGTTTTACCGACATTTTGAAACATACAGTGGTATGAACAAGTACATATTTCATCTTCTGTGCATGAAGCATCGGAATTTACTGATGAGCAACTTTTCGGAGATGAATTTGTTGTTTTATTGCGTAGAACTCTCCACGTTTGCTGGGTTAGCATACGTTCGAAATGTAGAATTAGCTCCATATTTTGCTATCTATAACATTTGTCGGGAAATGTCTTATTTTCGAAATCAATGGATGTTTAGCGATATTACATTTAGGACTTGGCAAAACTATTCTCAAAACCTTGATTACTTTATCCCACGCTGAAGACAACCCTCCAAAGTAGGAAAAGAAACGTTAATATTGAGACATAGCTTTCTAAAACATGTATTTGATTCTAAAACGTTACCTCAACGTAATGACGTATATTCTAAATATAACAAGAGTATTATGATTATTTTCAGCAAGAGCTTTCTACAACTGCATGCAAATGACATAATGATAGTTAACTTACCGTTTACTTCATTGAATAGTATTTAAGTACTATGTATCAGGCACAATGAAGTACAGTGAGAATTCTTTCATCACTGATTATTTACAGGAAAAGCTTTCTGCAGTTGAATGTAAATTTCATGTTATGAATTAACTTTACATTGACTTCATTTTGACTACAGTATTTGATAATGAAATACTATATATCTGATGTAAGCCAGTGTAGTGAGACTTTTTCAAGAATATAAGAAATTCATTGAATATTTATAGAAAAAGCTTTCTACAACTGAATGTATATGACAGGATATGAGTTAATTTTGTATTGACTTCACTTTGTCTATAGTACTTTATTATGAAATACTATGTATCTGATACATTCAAGTTCAGTGAGAATTTTTCAAAAATATTCTAATTATTTACAACAAAGCTTTATCTACAACTGAATGTAAATATTATGAGTTAGCTTTGCATTAACTTCATTTTGACTAGTATTCGAATTTAAAATGCAATACACCTGACGCAATGAAGTTCATTGTGAAATTGACAAGAAAATTCTAATCATTTACAACAAGAGCTTTTTGCAATTGAATGTAAAGGTCATCATGAGTTGACTTTACATTGACTCCGCACATTTACATCGTCATTGATAATCATTCACTTTCACTTTTTATACGCTTGGGATATTGTGTACAGTTTTCTAAGATGGTAAAATAATAGTTTTAGTAAGTTTTTAAAAAAAATTTTTTTAATGTTAGTGACGTTATCAAACATTCACTTCATTTTCTATTGATCAAATATTTATATTAATAATTTATAAGGACCACTCAGATATGAATTTGATGTTCTTTCGTAAACAGCTTCCTACTATGCCCATCATTAAAAACCTCAAATCATTGAGAAAGAAGCATTTTCATCATTGACGATTTTGGAATTAATTGTAAATGATTTTGGCACGCTAATTTGTAATAATAGCAATGACTATCGCCAATAATTTTCGTGTCTAATTTTCCAATATCTTATATAACTAATAATAAAATGTTTAAATAATTGCTTTTAAAAAATTTGCCAACTGATAATAATGCAAAGAAAGATTTTTTAGTCTGTTTTGTATTACATTTTTAATTATTGTTCAATGAATATTTTCAACTCTTTGTTATTGTAAGAGTGACTTAGTGATGACTTTTAGGCTTATTAACATAAGTACGTGTCATTTTAATCGATGCATTTTATTTTGGTTTTATTAAATACAATTCATTTTCATTTGGCTTGCATCGTTATTTTTTTATTAGTTCAGTGAAATAACTGACCCTGAAATTTTTTATTTCAGCACCTCTTGTACAATAGAAACATAATTTAAAGCTGACAGTAAAAAAGTTCTACCAACAAAAAATAATAAAAAAAACTATAAAAGTATCCTCTCCTTAGTGGTAAAAAGTTCTTCGATAAAAAGGCTTCAATGCGATAAAAGAGAGCTTTAAAATCACTATTTAGACAAATGAATCTTTGTTTAATTTCTTTTTCTCTTTATGTTTGTTCATATAACAAAAAATTCAAAACGATGAAGCCTATAGTTTGAAGACAAATTAGTTTTCTGTACAAAAAATACAATATTTGAATTGTACTTGTTTACGAATATGACAATAGTACATAAGCAAAAAGTATAGTTTCCAATTTATTTTTCACGCCAAATTCAATAAAACTAATTATGAGTCAATAAAATTGGTAAATCAGAAGTCAAAAGTTTTTCATATATATAATGTAGTTATTATATATGAAAATTATTTTTTGCTTGTATTTATTTACACTTTTGACATTGCTACCAATCCAAACTGAAGTATTGCTTTTTTTCTTATTTTGAAGTTGCATCGAAAGAAAGTTTAAAAAAAATTGTTTCTAGTCGATAGGATAATTTGTTTAGAAAGTAAGCGTTAATAAATACAAGTCAAATACATAAAAATCCTTAAGCCATTTGTATTTTTAGCTCTATTGATTCTTGTTTATTTAATTTAGCTCATAATCAATACATTGAAAAGAATACTTCGTTTATATTGATATCAATTTTATATGTGTAAACAGGTACTATTCAAATTTTACTTCTTGAGCATGAAATTATTATATCAGCTTAAGTATTAATCCTATTCTGTCGAACTTTGTCTAATTGCATTTTGCACATTGAAATATATCGGAGTCGATATCTTATTTGTCTAGTTAGCTGTATTTGAGTTTATCTTCCATTTCCTGTCCCCCAAACAAAAGTCGTAATGTCGCGCAACTTCATACCACTTACTAAGATGATGATACAGACAGTTTCAGAACTTTTAATCTCTCAGTTTTGAAAATTTTTGAGTAGTAATCCTAGACAGTAATCGACACTGTACTATTTGTTCTATACTAACAATGTGATATCAACGGTAGATAATCTTCCGTTTTAGTCTCCAAATTACAGATGAAATGACAATTTTCAAAAGTGATTGGGACCAAGGTCGATCTGGTAAACTAAAAACCAGATAACTGGACAACTTTAAGAAATTGCATGGCGTTACAGTGTTTTTTTTTAGGCAGCTAACCTTCACACTCTTTCTTGGGTCTCCAACTGTACTTGTGGCAATAGCATCCTTAAAGATTTTTTTTAAATTTTATTTTCTTTGAATTTCGAATGAAATTTTAATAAAATGTCGAATAGAACTTATTAAAAATACACAAAAAGAATATGTTACGGAAAAGAGAGAAAATTTATTTTTTGATCCTCTTTATGGGATCTGAAAACAAAGATAGATTTTCTTTAAAAAGATTTCTAAGAACCAGGGGAAAAACTTCAGGTTTCAGAATTCGGAAAATATGATAATTCTGTTAATCCATGCTCAGATAAAACGGCGTGAAATGACTCTTACTTTAAGATAAAATGGAAAGGTTTTTACTTTTATAAATTTAAAAAAACAATTCCCAGTGTTTATTTCATTCAGATTTGAATAAAAATATAAGCCAGTGTTTAAGTTTTAAAAAAATGTGAGCCTCATAATGCCTTAAGCAGTCACTCGAAATATGAATTTTAAGAAACATATTCCGTTTTTATGGAATAATGAACATGGGATTTTTAAGATGAATTCGCATGTTTATTAAATATTTCTGAGAAAATTTTTAATGATAAATCTCGAAAAGAGAAATTTTTCAAATTTAAGAGAAATTTACAGATTTTTAAAATTTACAAATCACGGTTTAATTGTCTATGACTTTTTTTTAATATTCCTATCATTAAAATTCTCAACTAGTACAACTTTTGATAGCTCATGCATTCTAGAATGTGGCAGTTCTGTTTTTTGATGTTACTTAACTATCTCACAAATGAGTAGCACGCAAGCTCTTTAATGTGAAGAACGTGTTCAAAAATGCTTAAAAATGTGAGAGCTTTAAAGTCAATTACTTAATAAAAAGTTATGTCCTGTCTGTGCAAGGGGTAAAAATTCCGTCGATTATCAAGGCCTGTCCTAATTTCTAAATGCTAAAGACCGTCTATCTCATCAGGTTGTATCTCCTCCGTATCGCGCTTTTGAAATACACTCTATGATTTCATTGGTGATTTCAGAGTTAAAAAAGTCCATCCATGATTAGTAGGGAGAGAATGATGTAGTCGTTTTACAAAGTTGAATACCCTTTACAAATCGTGGCCGAATCAGCTAAAACTTTTTTTATTCTTTTACACATACTAAACGATTGCATGCTAGAAGATTGCATACTAGATTGCATACTAGATATTTTTGCATACTAGAAGATGGCAGTTTTCTGATATCACCTTAAGAATCATCGCACTAACAAGTGAATTCTTCACAAGCTCATAAATATGGCGAACATGTCCAAATATACCTTAAGAATCCGAATGTTTAAAAATCAATTGTTTTATAAAAAAAACTCAATTATTTTAAGTCCAGTCTGTATAATAGGTGGATTCTTCATCGATTACCAATTCTTGGCCTAATGTCTAAGCGCTAAAGGCTGAGTGCTTGATCGGATCGCAATTTCTTTCGGTGGTGTCTTCGAAATTCACTTTACGGAAATTTCAGAACAGGAAAAGTTCACACATTATCAGTTTGGGGCATATGGTCTGATGACTAGGTGATTACTCCCATAATTTTCTCTCCCAAATCATGGTATCATTTCCGGATCAAAACGTTGGATGGGTCCCACACTTACACAAATAATCCATTTGTATGGAACTAGGGGAATGATGATAATCAGACAAAGGACTTTTTAAACTATAATTATGGCGAATGTTGCTGAAGCATTTCGAACTATGCCGTAGCCCAGAATTAGGGCCTAAATGAACCCCTGAATCACAGGTGGGATTTCATAGGTTTGAGTACCGAAGTATGTGATGAACCGTACTTCGAAGAAGCAAATACTGTACACGTGTTTTCATTTTATAAAAATCGCTGATGCTATCATGAATGTTGAGTTGATTTATGTGAATTATAATTTTTACTATATGCAGATGGGTGGATAGGTATTTTATTTACGTCGTACTAGAACTGCACAATGGGCAATTGCTGACGGTCTGGAAACTATCCCTAAGAGTGGTCCGATGGCATGATATCACAATTTTGTGAGGCCACTTCCTCAATTTGGACATAGATCTGAAGAGGAAGGGAATTTTCACTAGATCCCTGTCCCCGTATGGTACTGCGCAGGTTTTTAATTCCACAGATTTTACGAGCACGTACATTGCATTTACTCGGTGGGTCTTGGTGGAGTTTAGGATACTATATGATGAGTTTCAGTTCCACTATTGCGGATTTCACGCGTTTCACACTTACGAACGTTCAAAATCAACGAGTTCTCTGACACTATTTATTCTCACACATGTACAGGTTTGTGTGCACAAAATACGACCAATCAGCCATTGTCAAGTTAAAGAAATGATAACTCAAGCTAGAGATGAGGATCATAACGATACATCCAAAGTTATAACGAGATTCGAACCTGCTATCTCAAAGCTACTCAGTGTTTTGTGGAATGATTGATCCAAAACGGCCAGGAAGACAACACATTTTCTAGTATTTATTGTTGTGGTTTAGAAAACCTTAGTTTAAAAAAATACCGAGTATGTTTTACTCCAATTTAGTGATTTTTCGTTGCTTTTAAAATTTATGTTCCTGAATGAGTTTGCTCACAAGCATGCGCAAGCTGGCCAGCGTCCTCAGAAAACTAAACTGTTGGCAAAGAGAACAATAGATCATTCGAATTCTTTATTGGAGTATCTCTGCTAAAGATTTCTGTTCTCACAATAATACGTTGGAAAGGTAACTCAGTAAATTTCCAAAAATCCGCTTAGAGATTTACAACCAGTTTTCTTCTAGTTTTCCAAGGAAGATGGTCAACTTATGCATGCGTCTTCTCTATCACTGTCGAATCCCACTTTCCCTTCTAATACAATGTCTTATTGGATTAAAACCAGAATTCTTTAACATATGAAATGACAATTAATTTCTCTACACACAAATATATAGACGTAGTATCAGCACAAAAAATGGTTTATGAATAATAGTTCTAAAGAGTGGAGCTATCGGGTTCGAATACCTCTACAACCTTAAATGTGCTCATGTACTGGCTGTCTCTGATTTGAGAACTTTTTTCCTCCATCTCACCAGGACTCGAAGTCATTTTTTGATACATAGAGCTTGTATTGATCACGCAAGCGTAAAAAGATCTGTGGAAAATATACAGTTTTTTTACTTAGGGGCTTCCATAGCAGAGCGTTATTGCCCTCCTAGTGCTTTGTAGCGTATAAGTAGCAGGTTCAAATCCCATTGTAACTCTGGATGTATCTTTGTGCTGCCTTTCTTTGATTTTTGCTATATGCTATTTGACAAGTCCCGCAGTGGACTGATCATTAAGACACGGTTCCCAGCAGAACACCGAAGTCAAGCATCACTGGTTGTGGTCAGTGTGTGGGTGGGTGACCATTTGGATCAGTCTGCGTAGGGACCGAGGGTGTGCGCTATTGGTCCTCGTTAAACTGTTCGACCGTAAAGTACTCGACTTCGCGTGTAGGTCGTCTGAATACCGAAGCGGGGGTGCCATCCCCTCTGCAGAGGATCGAAATTGTGATGGCATGTCTTCGGATCATCCTCAGGGACGTTTCCCAGACCATCGCCAATAACCCATTGTGCAGCTCTAGTGCGACGTAAATGAACTACAACAACAACAACAGCTATTTAACAAAGGCTTATTATATGTACGTATGTAACTGAGCAATGGAGCCTGCA